TGCCGGGCGTGGTGCAGGGTGGCACGCTCTCTCTCACCAGCGATGCCGGAGCTGAGCAGAGCCACCGCTGGCATTGCCACCTGCTGAAACAGACACCGAGCTCTCTGTTAAGCAAAGCATACCAGCCTCGGGGTCCTGAGGTCTCCCAAGACCCAAGGAAAAAAAATTTTGTGACCAGCAGCTTGTCTTTCGGCTCCCCTGGATCGGTCCCTCTCCCAAGCACCCCCACCTCCCTGCACACACCACGCCACGCTCGCAGGTTCGTAAAGCCAAAAAAAGCTGGGCTCTGCAGTCACCGGAGGGGATTTTCCAGGCCTTGCCTACCTGCCCTCCCACTCTGGCTCTGCGTTGCTGCACCCAGCCAAGCTTACCAGACACAAGCCCCCACGGCCAACTACAGCTTCAGACAGCGATCAGCAAGGCCCAGGCACCTCATCTGACACAAAGGCTGCGGCCACCACTTAGATCTGCTTGGACAGGCAATGTGCTCCCCTGCCCAGCACAGCTCCTGGTTTCTACTGGGGTAGTTAGTATAATTGTCACTCCTCCAGAAGTATCTGTCCTTTCATTTGGGCTTTTTTTTTTTTGTGTGTAAATATATCTTGCTGCGTACAGGGCTCGCCCAAGAGCAAGCTCTGCTTTTGCACAGGGGAGCAGCGGTGGGACCGGGCTGGCTGCAGGTCTGGAGCTGCTCCCACCTCCACAGCAGAGCTTGTGTGCGGCATTGAGTCAAAGCCTTTCCTACCAGCAGACTTCTCCAGGATGGTGGAAACCATCTCAGGAGTGCCTTTGGAAATCGTCCTCTGTAGTTAAACTCTTGCCTTTGAAGCTGGGACCTGACTTTTTGCCACCTACTCCTCAGGGCCAAGAGCCCCAATGGCAGAACAAGGCTGATGAAAGCTCCCAGCCTCGCAAGAGTGTTCTACGGCCAAATGTACGGATACACAACAGTGCTGAGTGTTCAGAAAGGGCTGGTGATGAACCATGCTCACTCCAGCCAGGAGGAAGGCACAGCACCGTGCTCTGCAACCCCAGGAAATCTCCTGCTGCGGTGTCTCGTACCAGCACCACCTTCTGCCATGCACGTTCTCGTGTGGTGGGATCCTGTCTGAAGAACCCACTGCAATGCCACTGCAAGTATCACAGAGCAAAACTGGAAATGCTGCTTTGCTGTCAAACACTTGATCAGAGTCTCGGAGTGCATGGACTAGAGCTGAACATACAGAGCAGCAATGACCACGGGAAGGTGACCAGCGCTGGGGGCAGCCCCACGTGGAGGACCAGGGGGATGCTTCACGGCATCTTCAGCCAGAGGAATGGCACGTAGGGGAAGCACAGTGGCAGAGAGGACACAGGGGGATCACAGACTTTCTTTAGGTGACTGCTACGGGCCAAAGTCCTGCTGGGAATCTTGGCCACCAAATTGCTCAGACTGAGGTTTTTTTTATTTATTTCTGAAACCACTCAAGTAGGGAGAGAAGGTCGCCCTGGATGGAGGATCTGTGCTGTCCCAGCTCTTACCTTTCACTGCCAGCACGATGGCTCCAAGGACCATGATGAGTGTCTGCAGCGCGTCAGTGTAGATGACGGCTGCCAGCCCCCCTGCACGAGAGCAAAGCACAATGTCAGGAGCACCACCGGCTTCGGGCACGGCTCGGTCGGGAAGTCCCAATAAAGCTGCCCGCGCTCGCGGGGACATGCCTGTCACCGGCCTTGTCCTGCCGACACTGCGGCGATGGGGGGCTGCAGCGGGAGCGTGAAGGGAGAACAGGTCCCCGGCGGGTCTGGTGTCGAGGGGCGACAGCATCCCCGCAGATGGGGTGGGGGGAGCAGCCAACAGCCACGAGAGCTGCAGTCTCACCCAGGACAAGGAAGGGGAGCCAAGGGATGGCAGGAGGGGGGGGGGAGGAGGACACCAGCCAGCCCGACCCCCAGCTCTTTGGACGCTCCAGCAAGCAGACCACATTCAGGACATTGATCTCATCATTCATCCCACTTCTCCCTAACACCAGGTTGTCCCTTTGTACACCCCCCAGCTCTCCTCCCAACCCTACAGTTTTATTTTTCCAGCACCTGATGCTCAGTGGGGTCCCCTTTGGCCATCCAGCCAGCAGCATTTCTCCCTTTCCATCCCAAGCTCTCCCTCCAGACCTGTTGCAAACCCAGGACCTGCTTACCTAGCCAGAAAGCAATTACTCAGCACACGAACAAAAGCATTAATAAGTAGCGGAGCTAGAGAAAATGGGTCAAAAATTGAACCTGTTTCAACCCCAGTCACCAACTCACATGCTGGGAATTCAGGGCTGCACCCTCCCCGGCCATGCCTGGGATTTGGAAGGATGTTCTCAGGTTCAGGGTGATGCAACGATCACACCCTTTTGCCTGAGCTCACGTCGAAGTGCCTTACTTCACAACAAGCCTTGTGGGCAGGAAAAAACCCAAGATGGGATTTGCTTAAAACCAAAGTCTTGCAAAATCCACCATGTTTTGGATATACTTAAACCGTTTCCCATTTTAACGGCTGGGACGAGAAAGGGAGAATTTACTGCCGGGTGTCTCCACTGGCACTACCAGGGGAAGGAGTGTCCCATTCGAAATAACAACCAAAAGCACTGGCAGGGATACACAGTCCCGCAGTCCGAGGGTGGGACTGCAAGTCAGGAACCCACGATTTCCAACTCCAGCTCCAAACCCTCATCACCTCTGGATCACAAAAGAACCATACGGATTGACCCTGCAGAAAAATAGCTGGTCCTGCGATGGGGAGTCATGGCAAGAAATATTCCCAAAAGCTTTGCAGAGGGAGGGCAGCAAGTTGCATTGCAGGCAGGGCAAGTGGGAGGGAACTGAGTTGAGTAAAGGGGTAATCAGATTGTGGATTCCATAGTAATAGTCCTGTAATAGGAGAAGCCCTGGTTATTGCTGTTACAAATAGGTAAACATACAAAAAAGCATTTAAT